GATCACAGCGCGATGTTTTCGTCCCGCTGTGATGACATCACGTGCGCGCTTTTGTCGAGCGCGCTTTTGTGGACCGCGGTTTTGACGGGTCACGGAAACACACAAGTTTACATTTGGAAGATTTTGAAAGGGCTTAAAATATAAAAATCATAGATCAGTATGGAAATGGAATATTGGAAAATGACTTCATTGATTCCATTTATGACTTCCTCCCCCACTACAGGGAAGATGCTGTAGCTCCCAAGACGCTCTCCTGGGTGAAAAATTCCTGCACTGATGGACTCTCCAAAAATGGAACGTTGTCCTCCATCAACACCTCCCGGGATCACAAACCCTACGCCATCCGGGCGCCCTCGGACACGGCCTCCATCACCACTGCTGCAGGAAGCATGGTGGGCTTCAAGGCCCCTTTCACCGACCCCAGAAACGGGACCCTCACACCGACCCCCAGCCTTTCCAGCCAATCGCTGCCCCTCTATTTTCCACCGGTGATCAACGGAGTCCAGTGCCATCATGCCAATGTGCCCATCCACAGGAATAACCTCCACCGGACAAACCGGGCTCAGCCCCAGGCCCCCCAGCCACAGGAGCCCCCCGCCCCTACTGCTCAAGGCTTAACGGCCTCCACGCTGAATCGCATGGGGGCCGTGCCGGTCATGGTGCCTGCTCAAAGCCAGGCGGGGTCTTTGGTGTAAACGCGGTGTGACTCCAGAGCTCTCCAGGTGGCCGTTGGTTTGACTCCTCACAAGCACTGTTGAGAGACAGGCGCGCATTATGCTGCTTCGTCAGCCTGTCCGCAGAGGTCCAGGGGTCTCTGTGTGGGTTGGGGCTTGGATTTGTTCTTCAAGTGACCAAATGTCAAGACTTTGCCATAAGTGAGACCTTATCGGGACTTCTGAAAAGGACTTTTTTTAAAAAAAGAAAAAATTGGTAACCAGAGGAGCTTCTGTTTATCTGTCCAGTCTTATTCTTCTTGACGCACCAGCCCCATTCCATCCCCTCTGGGAATCTACCTAACAGAGACTAGGTTTAACTGGATGAAAATGTGTTTATTCTCTAACGTGACTCTTAATGTTGAGGAAGAGAAAGCAAACTGTGATTTACTGTCTTGGCTTAGAATAAGAGAAGGAGGTAGATCTGAAGTCTTTAAGCCAAATGGGTCATTCTATCTTCTCCAATACTTTTCAAGAAGTAGCTCACATAATGGGAAATCCTTGAGCCACTTGGGAAGGGAAGGTAAAGATAATTGAAACCCACCTGACTCCATGTCAAAAGTCTACACATTAGAGAAATCTGCACAAGTTAAAAAAAGAAGGGATAGAATCTCAGTGGCCCCATTCCACCCCTTCCAGCTAGACATTGTTTTCCAGCAATGGGTAAAGGTTGCAGCCAAGTGGGGAGGTGTGACTTCCTTTCTTGTCATTCCTGCTCAAACTAAAGGACAGTTCAGTCCCATTGTTTGGTTGGGTTGATGGCCTACAGGTAGTTCTTGAAGTCCGTTCAAAGGTAATTAATTCATAAACACTTCACCTGCCTCTTGAAACACCTGATAATCACAGTATGTTAGAGGTGTGCAACTGTTTGAGGACCCAAGCTTCCATATGAATGGAGAAGCCACCACATATTGCATTTGAAGAAAATGCCATTTTAATGTAATTTATGGAATATCAATGATGTGAGGAATGAATTTCTGTAATAAGCCTTAAAATGACAACTTTAAAGTTCAGCACTTATGAAGGCCCATTCAAGACTTTGGAGATTCACCTGCACTTGCTGGGCACTAAATTAGGTAGTATCAATGCCCCCTGAAATAAGTTTGGTACAAAATAAATGCAGCTCTATTCAAGAGGTTATCTTTTTACCATGGATGCAACTAGCTGTGTAATATCCTTTTTCCTGAAATGGTATCCCAGATTATTTAATTTTGGCAGCCTTAGTGACTAGATGAGTTTGGCTCAGGATGGAACTATTTGGAGAGACGAGTGCCATGAAGTTGCCAAGACTGAATCATAAATGCAAAAAGAGATCAAAGTATTGTTATTCACCCGAGGATGCTTGGAAATGGTTTCTGATAGGAATAAGTTAAATGGGATAGATTGAAACAAGACAATAATTGGGTGGGTGCTCAAGTTTCCGCATTTGGTGGTTTTGAAACTAAAAAGTGGATGCCACCTTTAAGGTATGAATCCAAACAGTAGCTTTGCAAAAGAAATTCATCTTTATAGGACCATAAAATGCTTTCCTACATTTAATATTAATCCAAGCTAATCATATAATTCAGCATTGTCAGATGGCACAGTTCTTATGAAACTGTTGACACACAGATCTGTAGAGGTTCTTCACTAGGTCTATCCATCCCACCACTCTTGTGCTGAAAACTTGGGGAGGGGTTTTTCTGTTGCTTCCTAGCATCCCTACAAGCCCACTTTTTGAAGTAGTGGTCCTCTATCAGTTAAGGTAGGGCATAGCCCACAGAAATACAGGTGTAGAATATGCTTTTCAGGAAGTGCTCCCACCCCTAAGGAAGGCTAGAAGGCAAGGCAAGTTAAGGAAGGATTCTGCCTTGAATCCTTGTGTACAGGTAGTCCTTGACTTATGACCACAGTTGGGGACTGGAACATCTGTTGCTAAGTGAGGAAATGTTAAGTGAATCTCACCTAATTTAATGACCTTTTTGTGCCATGGTTGTTAAGTAGAATCAGCTTGATTATTAAGTAAACCACACAATTGTTCAGAGACTTTGGCTTCCACCATTGAATTTACTTGTTGGAAGGCATCTGGGAGAGTCACAAATGCAGATCACATGACCCTGGGATTTGGCAACTGTCATAAATATATGCTGGTTGCCAAGCACGCCAGTTTTGATCACGTGACCACGGGGATGCTGCAACCGTTGTGCCAGGCCCAGTTTCAGGTCACTTTTTTCAGTGCCATTGTAACTTTGAATAGCCACCAAAAAAAGGTCGCAAATCAAGGACTACTTGCAGTCATCCATGTAACTTTATTTCCAGCAATACAAGATGGATTTAGAATTGCTTTCTTCTAGGATGATGGTTGGTCTAGGACAAGGGTGTCAAACTCAATTTCATTGAGGGCCCCATCAGAGTTGTGTTTGACCTTGGGCACCAGAGTGGGCATGGCCAGCTTGCTGTCACTCATGTCAGAGGTGCCTGCGGTGGCCCAAGAGCTCTGCCAGCGAAAACAGGCATCCCGAGCTCCAGTTTTGGCTGCCACAACCTCCGTTTTCACTGGCAGAGGGTTGCAAGAGATCGTGGCAGCCGAAAACAGGGTTTGGGAGCCTATCTTTGTTGGCAGAAGCACCGTAAGGCTGATCCTTCGCGCTTTCAGGGCAGCCCCGCAGGGCAGATCTAAGTACCCTGTGGGCTGGATCCGGCCCCCAGGCCTTGAGTTGGACACCCTTGATCTAGGACATGGGTCATCAACCTGGTCCCTACCGCCCACTAGTGGGCGTTTCGGGATTCCAGGTGGGCAGTAGGGACTTCGGAAGTTAAAACCTCCTTTTGAGCGAGTGTGCAGTTGCAAAATAGGAGAAGCAAACATGTGGGAAGGGGAGGAGGGGGATAGCAGGGACAGGCAGAAGCCGAACAGAGCAGTTGCAAAATAGGAGAAG